CTGTCTCTGTCTTCCCTCCGTGTTCCTTTATTATTGACAACAGTGTGTTCTGTACATCACGTGCCATATTACGGGCATCACTAAGAGAAGAAAGGAGGAGAAAAAGAATTGTAAGAGAGAGAGAGAGGAATAAAGAAAGACATTAATTTTTACATGTACATAAAGAGAATTGCAAGAGATAACATGCACCCTATGTGTGTAATAGAATTTTAATATAATCGTTATAAAAGTGGCATCAATATTTAATTAATAGAGTAGTAAGCGGGAATTAGAGAAGATGAAAGAGTTCTTACCCACACACATAAAAGAAACCTTGACCCTCAATAAGTTCCCAAACTTCTTTCCCTTTCTCCTTCAACTTGTGCTGCACATAAACTTTCTCTTCCTATAAAAACAACACAGAAACTTATCATAAAATAACTACTACCATAATAGCACAGATAATAGTAATAATATCATGTGCTAGTCACAAGATACTGTACATGTCAAAGGACACCTTTATAATGAGGACATTTGTCCTAAACCCCTACTTGACACAAAACCAACAAAATTGACTTTAAAAAAATCCAATGAAGACATTATAGTGGGGTTACAATGGGGTACATTAAGGGGTACATTATTATAATTATCCTGTCGTATGAATTTACTTGTTCTCGTGAGAAGGCCACATAGAGTCCCGAGAGTATACCCTTACTCTCATACTCCTCCAGCTCCTCCTGATACAAGTAATCATGAGCACGATTACGACAACCAAAGAAAAGTAAAGTAGCTCCAAGTTTCTTATCTGAAAGAAAGATTAAAATTAATATTAATTGATGATCCTTGTATCAAATTAGTAAATCTATGTAATGTACATGTACATGTAGGTATTCTTCCTCAATTCAGATATGCAATCATTAGTCAGTTATATAGTATTTATAGATAAGGTTTCTGTTGGGTTTCTGGCAAGTTTTAATTTCATCCCATCAAGTTGTTTTAGTAATAATCTAAAATTACTATGAGGCAAAGTTATTGGTTATTATAATACATAACATAAACTCCAGTATTAACGGGATTCACACTATATACAAAATACAATTACATGTAGTACCATATAGTGGGTTTATTTCGAGGATAACAAATTTCGCGAATTTCGTGGATTTTTGAAGATTCGCAAAATTAAATTCCTTGAAAATTAATTTAATACGGCACAAGATGGCAGAAAAGTGGCAATTCACGAAAATTAATTCCGTGAACATCTGGATAAAGGCTATTCACAAAAATTATTATCCTCGAAATAAATCCATTATACGGTATACTGTAGTTTTGAAATTCATGTACTCCAAAATTT